GCCCAAAGTCACCCAATTGACTTTCATGGCTAAGGTGGTACTAGAACTCCCAGTCTCCTGGTGATTGGCCCAAAGTCACCCAATTGACTTTCATGGCTAAGGTGGTACTAGAACTCACCGTCTCCTGGTGATTGGCCCAAAGTCACCCAATTGACTTTCATGGCTAAGGTGGTACTAGAACTCCCAGTCTCCTGGTGATTGGCCCAAAGTCACCCAATTGACTTTCATGGCTAAGGCGGGACTAGAACTCCCAGTCTCCTGGTGATTGGCCCAAAGTCACCCAGCTGGCTTTCATGCCTAAGGCAGGACTAGAACTCCCAGTCTCCTGGTCTCAAGTCTAATGCTACAGCAGACTGTCTTAAGACCTCTGCTCCGCGATTAATACCTCTCCCCTCGTCTTCCTCTTCATTTTCTTTTTCTCTTTCTCTCCTTCCACATGCTGCCCTGCTTAGAAGGAATTGAGGTAACGATGGCTGGCAATGAGTGATTTTTATCGCGTTTGCTGTAAACGGCCACAATGGAGCCCCCCCAATACACGTCGCTAAGCGGGACATGGGTTAAGTAAGTTTTGCCCCATGTTCACGCTGCCGCAGTTGTCAAACGCGTAGCGGGGTTGTTCAGCGAATGGGGCTCAAAATCGTTGAGTTTGCTCATTAGGAAGTCACAAAAAGATGATCACAACACACACACACACACTGGACACTGCATTTTACTCGTTTTAACGAAAGCTTCAGCATCTCGTCCTGTTCTGTCCGTGCCCCCCCACCCTCCCCTCCCCTCCCCTGATGCTCATCAGTTTCGCTCCCTTTGCAGAATATGAATTCGGTGTTCAAAACGGTTCTCGATTTGACCTACCCCATCACGTCCATGTTCTCCGGAGCCTCGTTTAACAACGGAATCAGCGCCATCTTCAGAGATAAGCAGATCGAGGTGGGTGTGCTCTCCTGCGCACAGCAGAAAAGTTTTTGATGGTTGCGAGAGGGGGAAAGGCTGCGTGGATCATTTAAAACCTCGGGTTTATTTTTTTGCCACCTTCCAAATGCGATGTGCAACATCTGGCTGTTACTCCCGGAAGCTGTTTTTAGTTTTTTCCAATGTAAACCTCCATATTTTGTGGACTGGATTGATTGGATCAGATCTGCACCTGAGCAGGGAAGTAGGTCTCCAGGGAAGATTAGGGTAGTTTACGAAAAGAAGGAAGGAGGGATGTAACCTTACAGAGGGGGAAATAGAAATGTGTTTATCACCATTTTATTTTTTTAAAAAAGATGGGAAGCTTTTTTTCCCTTCCTTTCCCTTTCCATCTCTTCTTCTTGCTCTTTTTCCCCTTCCTCTCTTCTCCTGTTCTCACTCTTTTCTTTTCTCATCTTTTCTCCTCTCCTTTTCTTTTTCTCTCTTTTTTCCTCTCTTCTCCTTGCTCCTTTTTTCTTCCTCTCCTTTTTCTCACTCCTTTCTTTTCTCCTCTCCCTTTCTCTCTCTATTCTCCTCTCCTTTTCTTTTTCTCTCTTTTTTCCTCTCTTCTCCTTGCTCCTTTTTTCTTCCTTTCTTTTTCTCACTCCTTTCTTTTCTCCTTTCCCTTTCGCTCTCTATTCTCCTCTCCCTCTCCCTTTCTCTCTCTCCTCTCCTCTCCCATTCCCCTTCTCTCTTCTCCTTGCTCCTTTTTTCTTCCTCTCCTTTTTCTCACTCCTTTCTTTTCTCCTCTCCCTTTCCCTTTCTCTCTCTTTTCCTCTCCCATTCCCCTTCTCTCTTTTCTCCTCTCTTCTCCTTGCCCCTTTTTTCTTCCTCTTCTCCTTTTCTCACTCCTTTCTTTTCTTTCCTCTCCCTTTCTCTCTCTTTTCCTCTCCTTTTCCCCTTCTCTCTTTTCTCCTCTCTTCTCCTTGCCCCTTTTTTCTTCCTCTTCTCCTTTTCTCACTC